ATCCCAGGGGCCATCACAGGACCTGGTGGATCGATTCATGGACTGATGAGTTTTCGTTGAAACGAGACACCAAAGCCTAGATGTGCAGTCCTCCTACTATAAACGGAGGGGGGGAGGGGATGCCCTATCTCCCGACGTTTTAAGCAAATGCGAAAATATGAGGAGGGACTGATCAAACTGCGGCAATGGACTGTAGCGGAGTTTTTTCTGAAAGAAAGTTGAGCATTTAAACAGACCTTAGAGACTTTGGCATTCTTTCTCGGCTAATGTAAACATCCCCAAAAGATGGCGATGAGAGGTAAAGAAGGAGGCGGGACCAATGCTTTCTTCAGGAAGGAGAACAGTGGAAAGCTAGGTCATGTGACCTAACCATAGATTCTGTCTCTAAAGTGAATCGCGGGCCCTCTGGTGGCTGAAGTGGAGTAGCGACCTGGATCTGTACTAAAAAAGCGGCTATATTTTTTTAAAGGGACAATATTTGGCGTGTACTTTGATCATAGAGACTTATGAATGGTAAGGAGATTCTAAAGTCTAGTTTACGTGCGGTGCGATTGGCAAGCAGATCGAAAAGTGGTTTTTGGGAGTAAAGGGATCGTTACCCCAACTTCACAAGATCTGCTTGCTAAGAGAAAGGTTGGATTCTCCAATAAGCATGCTTTTAATGCAACAAAAGGAAGGGTCTTGATTCAAGACGTTTAAGGAAACGAAGATGTCCCTGGAAAAAGGAACTTGGGTTTATATCATGAATGGACAGATCCGGACTTATAAAAGCTAGAAGTTAATTGGAAAAAGAAGATACATCTAAGATGGAAGATAAATTGTTGTAATGTTCTTAATGAGGGAACATTGGTTTTAAAGATTTTGCCTATGGGGGGGGGGAGTAAAGCATAAAAGGAGATGCCAATTTTTCTTAAGGACTGTGTTTATATATGTTCTAGCTTTAGAATTACTTTCTGTCTAGTCTGATAAGCTGGTTTTGTCAACAGAAGTGATGATTGGTGGGCACTCTTCATGCTTGAAAGTAAGTGAATAAGTGTAATAACCATGTTTTAAGCATTGTAAAACCTCCACACTTGGGTTTTTAGTTAGGTTCTTTTTCCTTTAGATTGTAGAATTTTCCCTTCCCAATTTCTGTTGTAGTTTTATAGAAATGCAAATAAAAAATTCCCCTTTGGGGGGCTAAAAAAAAGAAGAAAAGAAATGAGAATACATGCTTGGAAACAGCTTTGGAATGGATGAGGGCTAACAAGCTGAAACTTAATCCTGACAAAACTGAGGTGCTACTGGTGAGGGGAAGATGTGACCGAGAAATGTTGTAATCCTTGTTCTGGATGGGATCTAGGTGTTCTGGTTGATCACAAGCTAAACATGAGCCTGCAGTGTGATGTGGCTGTGAAGAAAGCTAATGCAATCTTAGGATGCATTAACAGAAGCATTGTGTCCAGATCACGGGAAGTGGTAGTTCTGCTCTATTCTGCTATGGTCAGGCCTCACCTGGATTACTGTGTCCAGTTTTGGGCACCACGTTTTAGGAAGGATGTTGACAAGCTTGACTGTGTCCAGAAGAGGGCAACTAGGATGGTGAGAGGGTTGGAATCCAAGTCTTATGAGGAAAGGCTGAAAGAGTTGGGTATGTTTAGCCTGGGAAAGAGAAGGCTTAGAGAGGACATGATTGCAGTCTTCAAATATTTGAAGGGCTGTCATGTAGAAGATGGAGCAGATTTATTCTCTCTTGCTCCAGATTGCAAGACTAGATGTAATGGGTGGAAATTACAAGGGAGTCGTTACTGGCTAAATATCAGGAGAAGCTTCCTTTTTTTTTTTTTGGCCTCCCGAAGGGGATTTTTTAAATTGCATTTTTATAAAGACTACAAAACTACAATGAAAATAAGGGAAGGGAACTACAATTAAGGATAAAGAAAAGGATACCTACTACTATCTAAAATCCCAAGAGAGGAGATCCTCAAAATCGCTTAAGTACAAAGTCAGTTCTAAAAACGCTGACAATTTTATGAACTTAGTCAGGTCTGCTACTACAACTTTTGAATCTTAAATTTAACTGTTAAAAAGAAAACCCCCAAAGCATCTCATTACTATCAACCCTTTTTTTCCCTCAAAGGCACAATGCAGAGTCCTTCAGACTTCATTTTTTCTTATCCTGTATTTTTTGCAGTTTATAAGGACTTTTAGGAGCCAATTAAGGATAAAGAAAAGGATACCTACTACTATCTAAAATCCCAAGAGAGGAGATCCTCAAAATCGCTTAAGTACAAAGTCAGTTCTAAAAACGCTGACAATTTTATGAACTTAGTCAGGTCTGCTACTACAACTTTTGAATCTTAAATTTAACTGTTAAAAAGAAAACTCTAAAGAAAGGAGGGAACAGAATGGGTTATGAAAAAGCAGGATGAACTTCAATATAGATATGTTTGGCTGAAATATATGCAGATTAATGACATTTTTAAAGCAGATAAGAAGAATTATGGTTTTAGAGAGGAAAAAAATGAATTAGAAACTGTTTGGGAGGCTGGAGGGGGGAAAATGGTTTCTAAGATGTATAAAATTTTGCTGAAATGGTATACGGAAGATGAAACTGTAAAAGAGCAAATGTTAAAGTGGACAATTAACATGAATAAGGAAGTGACAATAGATTCGTGGGAATATTTGTGGAAAAATTCTATTAAGATATCGACGTGTACCAATGTAAGAGAGAACTGTTATAAAATGATGTATAGATGGTACATGACACCTAAGAAAATAGCAAATATGAACCAGAATATGTCTAGTAAATGTTGGAAATGTAAGAAACATGAGGGCTCATTTTACCATATGTGGTGGACTTGTGATAAAGCTGTAGACTTTTGGACTAAAGTTCATGGAGAAATGCAAAAAATACTAAAATTTTCCTTTTAAAAAAAAAGCACCTGAGATTCTGCTTTTAGGACTTAAAATGGAAGAACTAAATGTGAAGAAAAAGACTATTCTGGTATTTAATGACAACTGCGAGAATGGTTTATGCACAAATGTCAACATTTTAGCCAGCTCGGTGGTTCCTTCTGGTCTTGGGCTCTCCACTTTCGCTTTTGAAAGTTTTTCTTTCTCCATCCTCTTCCCCATCTTTATCGATTGTTTACTTTCGCCGCGATTTCTAAAGTATACGCGCCTTGGTGAGTTTTTCTCAACAGATTTCAACGCTTTCGCTTCCGCTCCCCATTTTTTCGCTTAAAAGTTCATGCACATGGGAGAGTCCCCCCGCTCGCTTCACTTCTCAGTCCATGGGGTGGGGAGCTTTCTTTTTATATTGTCAAAGGTGCTTTAATCTGACTCACGTTCATATTGGTCTTCCGACCTCGCTTAGTCTCTGATTCAGCTGCTCAATCCCCAGCGCTTGTCCCGGTCAGCGTCACTAGGTTCCATTCGGACACTCGCAGGACGGACCATCCGGGCGAAGAGGCGCCTCAATTCGCCAGCATCGTGCTGGTGAAGAGGCGACCTCTCGAGAGCCCAATGGCTAGAAGCCCTTTGCCGGGCTTCTTGGGGGGCAACGAGCCTGCGTACCCCCTCCTTCCCACTCGTGCGCAGATCGCATCCCCGGAAGGTCCGGGAGATGCGACTGCTCAGCGTGCCGCCACCAACCGGAAGTCAGGAGAAACTTCCTAAGTGTAAGAGTGGTTGAGCAGTGGAACAGTCTGCCTCGGGAGGTGGTGGATGCTCCTTCGCTGGACGTTTTCAAGCGGAGGCTGGACGACCATCTTTCGGGTATTTTGTAGGTATGTAGAGCTATCTTTCAGCTATGCTCCTGCAGAGTGCAGGGGGTTGGACTAGATGTCCTGCGAGGTCCCTTCCAACTCTAACATTCTATGATTCTATTATTCTATCTGTAGAACTTTTTCTTATTGTAGCGAGCCCCCCTGGCTAGATCCAACTCATATCAAGTTTTGGTTTCTCTGATGGCTGATCTAGTAACTCTCTAATTCTGTATGTTTTATTTTTAACATTCCACTACATAAATAACACAGACAAAGTAGCGCCCAAAAAAGAATATTCTTATCACATTTATATAGCAACTCACTAGCAGAATAAATCATAAATAACAGCAAATAACAAGGAAAATTACAAAGAAAACAAGCACAATATTGTGAATCAAGTATGATATACAAAAAATAGTTTGTATAATACAAGAATGACATAAAGTATAACAATGACACTGGAGAATGACTGTGAGTACAAAGACGACACAGAATGAAGACACTGGATTTCACTCTTCGTTTCGATGATTCTTCCTCAGAAAGCTAAAAATAGGACAAGTTGTTACTATATATTATTAAAGTTACAACCATGTTCCGGCAACGTGAAGCCTTTTGGATCTTCCGTCTTAGGACCTATCATCCTTATGGCCTCAACCAGTCATTGGAACTAAGTTGTTACTTATGAGTAGAGTGTTCTTTAGAGTTCTAGTCCATGTAGCTTTAAGAACACTTGCTATGGTGTCTTAATAGATGTTAGCTTTAGTATATATATCAATGGCATGCTGATGACACCTTGAGGTGTACCGACAATGTAAGAATACGCTCTGCTACAGATCGGTTGCCCATTCTTGATCGCTTTGATACAGATCGGTGAGCATTATGACTTTTTAATGGAACCCATTATTAATACATGGACCTCACAAAATATCCATTTTCAAACAAAGAGATTATGGGAGCACTTTTCTTTCTTTCTTTCTTAGGTTATTCAGCCTGTACCTATTATCTTGGAGGCTTCTCTATATAGTAAACGCTTGATGCAGGTAGTTTCTGCCTTTATTTTTCATTACATGGTTGTAACTTTAATACATGCTAAAATGCTAAAGCAAATACTAGAAAAATACTAAAGCAAAAAAGATTTACAGGATATTTTGCATGTATTGTGACATGCTGTACATACATCACTACCAAACTCAGCCAAAAGGAAATGCCTGATGCCACATTACTAAAGTATCAGAGGAAAATGTTCCCTACCTGAACGATCCCAGTGGAAGGAATTTTATATGCCTGTAGCTTCTGCTTCAGCAGCTCAGGATCACTGTGGCGGAATGGGCACCCTAATAAGCAAATAACAGAGCAAAGCACACAAAACAAGACTATTTACCCAGAAGTTAGTACAATAACACACTTGAGAGACTGGCTAAGCAGTTCCTAATTGTCTAAGAGCTTATTAATACAAAAGTTAATTGCCCATGTGTAGAATCGCTTTACTCTTCTTCTAAATGACTACTTCACTCTATGGTGGCATGACACTATAGGCTCAAGAATTATACAAACATTATAACAAGACAACCAAGATTCTCATTGATCTGACAAAATTCAATTAAATTCCTTACAAGCAGCTATGAAAATACACAAAAAATCTGTAACATACAATACAGAAAGACTATAACGGGGTAATATTGTGGCAATGGCAGATAAAAGGAAGATAAAAATAAAATGTTAAGTACAGTATCGAATGGTGAGAGGGTTGGACTAGGATCTGGGAGACCCTGATTTGAATCCCCCACTCCAGCATGGAACTCCACTGGGTGAATCTGGACCAGTCACCTGCTCTCAGCCTAACCAACCTCACGGTGTTGTTGTGAGAGTAAAATGCAGGAGGAGAGAATGGTGTTGTAAGTCACTTCGAGTGCTCATTGTGAAGAAAAGCAAGGCATAAATAAATAAAATGACTTTACATGATCCCAGGGGGAAGAAGGATAAATGCTGCACCCAACTGTATACAAAATATTTATGTTGGTGATCCGAAAATGTTGCATTCTATTGATTTTACTGAGACGACATTGGTTTAAAATCAAAGTGTCATAGCTTAGCTGGTATATGATTAACAGTTTAGCAGATACTAACTATGTGAATTATTGTTATTTATTGAAAACTTAGATCTACAGCTCTTATGATACACCTTTGGTACTTGTAAAAGTCTCCCACACAGTTGGCTGCAGACATATAGGCTGCATACTCCAGTATGAATGACACTGGAGAGGATAAAACGTGATAAGAATAAGGCAAAGGAACTGGTATTTATTTTCCTTTACCCTTTCAAATCATATTCTCTTGTTTTCAACACAAGTAACAAGGAATTTTCCAGGCAGCAGATCTGTCCCTTTTGGTACTGACTTAATCAGCTGGGAGGGACTGAAAAGTACAGTAAACAAATCAGTCAAATTGGCTGATGACCTGCCTTGCAGCAGATCTTCCATGGGCTACTGTTGGACAAAACTGAGCTGCACAAGTAACAAATTTGACCCAGTTTAGCAAATCAAACGTCTTATTTTGTTCAGAGACCTGCACAGTCCTTTGTGCAGAAAGAAAGGTATTTTTTGTTTACCATAATTTAAGTGCCAGTGTGGGGTAGTGGTTAGAGTGTTGGACTAAGACTGGGGAGAACCCACTGTGCCATGGAGCTCACTGAGGTGACTCTGGGCCAGCCACTCTCTTTCAGCCTAACCTACCTCACAGAGTTAGTGTGAGGATAAAATTGAAAGGGGAGAACTCACATTGGGACCCTGCCGGGATCTAAAATGGGGTGTGTTAAGTGCCGTCATTTCTGACTTAGGGCGGCCCCGTGAATTAATGACCTCCAGAACATCCTCTCATTAACATCCTTGCTCAGGTCTCACAAACTGAAAGCTGTGGCTTCCGTAATTCAGTCAATCCATTTAATATTGGGTCTTCCTCGTTTCCTACTGCCTTTAAATCTCCTAGCATTTTCCTAGCATCTAATAAACCCGTGCAACTCCAATATTGAAGAATTGTTTTAAAAACAGATTCCAAATTCAGAGATAGATTTTCATCTTGGGGGGAAATCCTGATTTCCTAGAGGTTGTTTTTAAACAAGCCACTGTGCTGTTATCTGCTAAGAATTCTTATTCTAGAGAGTAACATAAACTTTAACATATTTAATAAGAGGCCAGAATGCGTATCCATTTAAAAATATTCAAATGATTTATTACTATTTGAAAGTTTTCAGGCAAAAGCATTAAGGAACTTTACTATTTGTCCTGAGACCCTGTTGGGGGGGGAAATAAAAAATCTGCAGGAAGGAGAGAAGAGAAACAGTGAAAAGCACAGTGAAGCACATATTGAAGCACTGTTGAATGAATCTCTCTTGCTTGACCTAGTTCTGTAATAAGACAAATCACCAAAAGAATAACAGTACACCAGTCTGACAGTGATGACTGGCATAAGCTGCAAAAGTAACTTCTGCCAGTAATGTGGGCAGCCAATCAGTTGGTTTCCAAAGCTGCTGGGTTCCCAAGCATTGTGTACATGTCAGGTGCAAGCACTCACCGTGATAATCCCCTTGGCCTGGTGGATTGGACAGGATAATTTTCATGCAGCTGAATGGAGTATAATCAGTTCGCTTTCCTTCTTTTCCATAGTTATGCCGGATGCTGTAAGCATACCCTTTGTCAAACTAAACAGCAAACACATTAAAAAAGAGAGAGATGGTTTGCATTTTAATTGTACCTGAGGCCTGCAATTTCACTACTATGAAAGGTAAACTATTGGGACTTCAAGAGGTTGTATTTGATAAAGTCTTCCTATTAGAACAAATTTAGAAGTGAAAATTAAAATTTATTTGGCTGCAAATATTGCTCTATTTTTACAGTGGAATCCTAAGCAGAGTCATACCCTTCTAAATCCACAGAAGTCAATGGGTTTAGAACAATATAATTCTGTTTAGGTTTGCACCATTAGTTAGGTACCATAGGATTTTAAAATGCAGAGTAAAAGAATAATCCCAAATTGTAAGTAAATGGGGGAGGTAAAAACACCCCAAAAGCACATAGAGAAGCAATCGTAGACATTCCAACCCCCCTAACATTAGGTTGTACCTTGTAGATCTGTTCTGCAAAAAGCAGCATTTTCATTTGGCACAAGGAGCCTTCCACTGATGCAAAGTGTTCTGTATCATAAGAACATAAGAGATGCCAATGTTGGATCAGGCCAAAGGCCCATCCAGTCCAACACTCTGTATCACACAGTGGCCAGAAATACCAGTGCCATCAGGAAGTCCACCACTGGGGCCAGGACATTAGAAGCCCTCCCACTGTTGACCCCCCCAAGCACCAAGATGTCACAGAGCATCACTTGCCCCAGAGCCCCTATCTATACCTTCTGGCTAATAGCCACTGATGGACCTCTGCTCCATATGCTTATCTAATTCCCTTTTGAAGCCGTCCATGTTTGTAGCCGCCACCACTTCCTGTGGCAGTGAATTCCATGTGTTAATCACTCTTTGGGTGAAGAAGTACTTCCTTTTATCTGTTCTAACCCGACCGCTCAGCAATTTCATGGAGTGCCCACGAGTTCTTGTATTGTGAGAAAGGGAGAAAAGTACCTCTTTCTCTACCTGCTCTTTCCCATGCATAATCTTATAAACCTCAATCATGTCACCCCTCAGTCGCAATGCATGGCTAGGAATAAATACAGTGAAGCAACATGTTGAATACCGGCAAACAGATAGTATTCCAAATGAAGTCGCACCATTGATTTATATAGGGGCATTATGATATTGGCTGATCTGTTTTCAATACCCTTCCTAATAATCCCCAGCATAGCATTGACCTTCTTTACTGTAGTCACACACTGTCTCGACATTTTCAGTGAGTTATCTACTACGACTCCAAGATCTCTCTCTTGATCAGTCTCTGCCAGTTCAGACCCCATCAACGTGTATTTATATTTAGGATTTTTGGCTCCAATGTGCATCACTTTGCACTTGGCCACATTGAACCCCATTTGCCATGTTGACGCCCACTTGCCCATCTTTGACAGATCCCTTTGGAGTGCCTCACAATCCTCACTGGTTTTCACCACCCTGAACAACTTCGTATCATCCGCAAATTAAGCCACTTCACTGCTTACTCCCAACTCCAAATCATTAATGAACAAGTTAAAAAGCAGTGGACCAAGTACTCACCATTAGCAGAGTGGGTTTGCAAGTTCCAACCCATTATACTTCTCTCCTATAAGGTGCCCTATCAGTATATTCTCTAAATGAGAAAATATATTTCCCTTTTATAGTTCCTTCCAATCTTTGTAAGATTCTAGCACCGCCCCCTTTTAACTCTTTTACTGTGGACTTTTCATCCATTCTCTTATTGCCCTTCTTGAGATCAGAACTCTCAGACAACGTACTGAGTCAAGCTGTTACCATTGTTTGGAAAACTAGCAACAAGTCAAAGAAAAGTAAAGAGAGGCAACTTACTGTTCCATTAGAGATTAGCAAGCACTTTCTGCATAAGCCACTCTAGAGTGATTTTCTATAGTATTTAACATGATATTTCAAGACAGTGGGCATTTCATACCTCTAAGTCCAAAATTTGGTCTCAAAGACTGACTGCAGGAGTTTGTTTGACAATGTGACACTCTTGCACTGGTGTTTCTACTCATGTGTTTGCCCTTTGTCTCTCCTCCAAGTGGAAAGTACAAATTAAACAGCCTAAGAGATCACTGTTATTCAGTAGCCCAAAGAATTAAACACATGAATCTGCCTTATACTGAATCAGACCATTGGTCCATCAAACTACTCAGACTGGCAGTGGCTCTCCAGGGTCTCAGGCTAAAGTCCTTTACATCACCTGCAACCTGATCCTTACTGGAGATGCCGGGGATTGATCTTCTGCATGCTCTAGCTACCACTGAGCCATGGCCCCTCAACTTTAAAGACTGAGGAGTGTGGATCAACAGAGAGATCAGTTTGTGATCAAGTTTTATATTACAATATCACTGGCAGTACTAAAACTGATACATATGAACGAAAAAAACCTTAGAGACTGGCTTTTAAGAAGTGTTTGCTTTATCATTCAGAACTTCAAAAAGTATCAAGATTCATCTATCTCATTTCAGAAAGCCATAACATATAGTTGGAGGGGAATCAATCTTGCATTACAAAGAAAGAATTTTAACACCACATAAGTCTTTCTGTTATAAGCCCCTCACAGATTAATATTTGACTGTATCCCCAGACAGATATGTGACAAAACCCTCTTCTAACCACTACTTCACACTGGGTAGTTTGGGCACCAGAATCATTCTGCCAATTTAAGAGCCAGTGTGAAGTAGTGGTTGGGGGGGGGGCAAGCTTACTGTTGCACTCCAAGCACCGTTTAAAGAAACCCCACCGTGCGGCCATAGGCCGGGGGAAAGCGTTGGTAGAAATAAAGTCCAATAAACAAAGTACCTAACTGAAAAACTTTCCTAACTAAACTTGAATAAAAGAAGGCCGAAAGGGCCCCAAAAAGTAAAGTTTTAATGACTGAGGCGGAGAGAGTCCTACCAGCGCGGTGGTCAGAAGAGAACTGGCAGGATTGTTGTGCCCCTCCCTTGGTCATGCACACTGGAGCCCGGCACGTGACTGGGGAGCGGCCGTGAAAATTCCTTTTGCTTTCCATTATACCGATTGGGGTCGGCGCAGGCGCACTATATCCCAGAGTTGTGATGCGCAGAGACCATGAAGAACATCCCCAGGATCTGCCATTCTGCATGATTCCTCCCAGCAGATGGGCTGGGGTGAGAGTTGGTGTAATCGGCCGGCAGACGGGCTGCCCAATGCTGGATCCAGGCCCTATGCTGCACCAAATGCTCCTGTGATTGAACTCAATAAAGCTGTGGCCTATCCTCCCTACACCCTCACTTCCTCCCTTGCCCCTGGGGCTGCAATCAGCATTTCTCGAATTTTCTTCTTTGCAGCATGGGGCTGCATGACCCGCACTTTGGCTCCCAGATCTCCATAGAATGAAATTAACAACATAATTTTTAATGAAAGAGGATAATCATGGGACTCTACTGCAAGAAGAGAGTGGGAAAGCAGCTGTTTTTGTCTGTATTATTTCAGCTTTAATCTGCAGTAAGTGCCTACACTATAAATGGACAACACAAAAGAGATAAACAAGTTCCCCAAACAGAACACTGAGTTGAATTCCTAATATTTTAAGTTGTCTAAATTACCTTGTCTGCATCCACTTTTCCTTTGATAAACTCAGATTTCCAAAACTGCAGAGCTTGTTCTAATGTCAAACCAATTCCCTTTAGAAACAAACCATATTGCATGCGGCCTCCATGACGGAGATGATGATTATCATGCAGAGCTTTGTGCAGCTGACGCATACAGAGAGGAAATGATTTAACTGAAAGCTGTAACAAGAAAACTGGTATTAAAGATGTATCAACTATTGTAACTTACAGGCTGTTTGATCACTAATTAAACCATTAGGAAGATGAACAGCTAGTGATGAAAAAAAGTGTTTGCAAAGCATATAGAATCTAAGGATTAAATCTCCTTTAGAACTGGACTGTTATGTCTAATAACTCTTATCAGATACATTTATCCTTGTAACACAAAAGTACTTTTAATAAATGAGAAATGGAAGATTTGTATTCACTTACTGTGAAGCTTCCTTCTCGGTGGTCCAGAGTGAGGCAGTCCTTGACTCCTTACTCCTGGGAAAGCACCTCCCCCTTCCATAGGCAGGGCCGGAAAACTTTGATCCCGGAGGGGAGGGGCTTATCCTCTGATCCCCAGTCATACCGAAAGCCACCTCCGAGCTGCTGTAAATTCCCTTTAAAAATAACTCCTTCCCCCTCAGACAACTGGGGGATACCATCACAGCCATGGGCTTAAACAAATACAAACCTGTATTTTAATTTCCATTTATTAATCGCTTTCCCCAGTGGGCTCAAAGCGATGTACAGTTACTCATTATAGACAAGGGACTAACAATGTTCGCAGGGGATAGGGAAGACAACATATATTCATTTAATTACACATGCCGTCGCTGCCCGGTGTAGACGTCTTCTGGCTTGGCTCCGTCGTTTTCCGCACGGCTGCTTGTCGACCAGGCTTCAGGACCCGTATGTCAATCACCACACTGCCACCGCCTGGCCGGAGCATCCACTGCAGGGATTCTTCGTAGCCGAGAAGTTCTTTCGCCTTTTTCCGAACCTCGACCAGGACGTCCGACCGTCAGCTAACACCCTCCCACAAGAGAGATTGGTGTGCCCACCCTCTCTAAGGAGTGGTTCCCATTTTATCCACTCGCTGAAGCTTTCGAATCGCTGGGTGGATGATGAGCTGGGGACAACAGGTTGGCTGCTCACACCAGCGCGGGGTTCGAACTAACACAGTTCATATGTTAAGACAGTGGGAGCAGCAACAGTCCACCACAACACGTAATCAGTTAGACCATATTCATGAGCAACTGAACCACTGTAAAACCTCATGTCCAACTCCAGGTCCCGAGGACCGAAAGTCATGTCCATCAAGAGAGGGTGGGTAGGACTGCCCCACTCTGGACCACCGAGAAGGAAGCTTCACGGTAAGTGAATACAAATCTTCCATTCTCCGGTGGTCCAGGAGTTGGGCAGTCCTTGACTCCTTACTCCTGGGATGTAAAAAAGCAGTGCTCCCCCAGGTGGGTCACACGACTTCTGGTGCCTACAGGGCCCGAAGTAACACTCTCCTGTCAAATGCTGCTTCTGCCGAAGCTAGTTCGTCAATCCTATAGTGCTTTGTAAAGGAATGGACA